GACGGGCGGCGATGTTCCGCGCGCCCATTACGTCGCTAGCTTTCTTTGCAGCCAAAAAGTTGTTCGAGCCCACGGAATTTGATGATGGCAGACTCCTGGCGTGGAGGAACAACCGTGTGTGGAAGTGTTCATCGATCCATCAGATGATCGGGAATTGCAACCTGCCCGTCGCCATCCCAACTACCCCGTCGTTCGGAACCTCCAGATTCCAGGCCTCTACTGAAGCTGCCCTTCGTGAGCTCGCCCCCTTCTCGCTCCGCCAGTCCCTCTCTGGACGTCTTGCCAAATTCGGCACCGCTCCCTCCTCGCACCAACTCGACCTGATGTATGTACTTAGCTTTGAATCGTCTTGGGAGGCTCACGGCCTCCTGCGCGTTTTCTTGTGTTCGCAAAACTATTTGCGATGCGTGGTGCGCGACAGGTCGATTCCGCGGGCCAACCGAGTCCTGCATATTTTGTTGTGAGGAGGGCGGTGCCAGTATGATAAATTTCCTTGTTTGCCCCTGCTTTTCTTTTGTCTCTTCCCTGCTTCCTTGGCTCCCCCCTTCGTTTGCTCTTTCCCCTGCCTCGTCTCGCGCGTCTTTGTTCTCTCTTCTGCCCCTCTCGTCTGCTGCCTTCGTTTCTCCCGCCATGTGCCATGATGTTTGCTACACTTCGCGTCACGAATTGAAGCAGTGGCCGCGCGTCGCCCCGCCGAGAGAGCGGGCGCGGTTGCGGAACTTTGCTCGTGCCCGACTTGCACAAGTCCAAAGGCAGGCCCCCGCCGCCCAGCTTGCCGCCATCGGGAGCTGACCGTCGTCCTCTGTCGTCGGTCGTCCCCCTGGGCTGTGTCCTCCTCCTCCTCCTCCTCCTCCTCCTCCTCCTCCTCCCTCCCCCCCTCCCTCCACAATTACTCAATATGAATACCACTCTCCTCCTTCCCCTAATGACGGGTTGGGAGTGTTCGCCCCCCCCCCCGCGTATTGTTTTACACAGGATTCCCCTGAGTTGGGTTTTCGCCTGCATTTTTTCCTTACCATACAAGCTTCGGTTGTGATGGGGGGAAAGGGAATGGGAAGGGCCGCAGGTATTCATTAGTGTACCCTTGTTCCCCTTCCCGCAGGTACTCTCATTCCTCTTCCTCTTCGTATATCCATTCTCATTGTGTTCCAGTTGAGAGGGGGGCATGTGTGCGGGTCCTGTCGGCTGGGGTGGCCCCCTTCCTGCACCCATCGTGTCCACCCCCTGCACCCGTGCTCGCTTTAAACGTTTTAACCTTTCCGCAACAGCTGGCCCAGACAGAGTTTTCCAAAATGCTGCTCTCGCTGAGGCGCCGGCCTCATTTTCGGGCCCCGCTCGTTCCGAATCGTGCTCCCGCTGCAGCGCTGGCCTCATTTCCGTGTTTCCGCTCGTTCCGAATCGTGCTCCCGCTGCAGCGCTGGCCTCATTTCCGCGCTTCCGCTCGTTCCGAATCGTGCTCCCGCTGCAGCGCTGGCGTCATTTCCCGTGCCATGCCACGGCGTGCAATGCAATGCTAGGTTGCGTTCCGCTTCGCGATGCCATGCCTCCAGCTGAAGCTGTGATATGCAGTGCTTCAGTGCCACGTCGTGCTATGCCATGCAACGATCTGCAACGCCATGCTATGCAATGTTATGTTCGGGGCGTCTGTGCGATGCATGCAAAGCGTTGTGATGCAATTCTTCACTACGCCACGCCACGCCATGCTGTGACATACTACGCTTTGCGGTGCTCTTCTACGCCATGCCATGCCGTGCTCTACAATGCGTCGCGTACCCTTTCGGGATCATTGCCCTGCTCGACATCCGACTGTGCGAGTAGAGGGGGGATCTACGCCATGGTAAGGGCTGGGAGGGAGGGGCAGGATGTCAGATATGACGCGAGCGCACCTAGCTTGCCTCCCTCCCTCCCTCCCTCCCTCCCTCTTTTCCCTCCCTCCCTCTCCCCGCCCCGCCCATTTCCAGCAGCCCCGCGCCACGAGCCCGAGAGCTCCCCGCGCACACTGGCCGCGGCCGCCGCCGATCGCGTCCTCGCCGCCAGAGCAGCGCGGCGGGCCCCCCGCCTCGGCAGTGTCAGCGCGGCCGGCTCCGGCGGCGACGGCGACGGCGGTCCCCGCCGCGGCGACGGCCATGGCGGCGGCGGCGGCGGCGGCGGCGCCGACGGCCACAACGACAAGCACGTCCAGCTCGCCTCGTTATTGGTCGGCCCTCTTGCAGGCGGCGGCGTCGGCGGGTGCGGCGACCGCGACGGCGGCGGCGGCAGTGACGGTGGCGGCGGCGGCGACGGCGACGACGGATGCGGCGACGTCGGCGGCGACCGCGATGGCGGCGGCGGCGGCGGTGGCCTCGACAGCGGCGTTGGCGGCGGCGGTGAGGGCGGCAGCGGCGACGGGGCGACGGGGGCGCCGAGGGCGATGACGACGAAGACGAGGGCAACGATGGCGTCGGAGGGCAGAGGGGGTGATGAGGAGGCCGACGGATGCGGCGACGTCGGCGGCGACGGCGGCGGCGGCGTCGACGGCGCCACGGCGACGATGGCGGTGCTCCATGCAGGCCAGTACGAGTATGAGCTGGCCCTACATCCATATTCACTTGAGGGGTGGGAATGTCCAGAGGCTGTTGAGACGGTTTCAGAGCTCGTTCGGGGCTGCCTCCAGATCGTCTTCACCCTTTTACCTCCCCCTCCTCTTCTTCCTCCTCCTCCTCCTCCTCTTCCTCATTCTCTCCATCCCCCCCCCCTGGACGACGACGATGGCGACGGCGACGGCGACGGCGGTGGAGACGACGATTTTCACCACGACGACGACGGCTGCGGCAACGACGACATCGACGGCGATGGCGGCAACGCCGGCGATCGCGGTGACAGCCACGGCATGCTCGCCTTCTTGGGCCAGGCCTCGGGGCGTGCACGTCTTCCTATTGCTGCTCCTTCTGGCTTGCTGGTGGCTTCCGGGTTTAGATCAGAGTCAATCATACCCCCCCCTAGCAGCCCTGGGTGGGTAAAAGTGGAGAAGATGACTCAGAGAAGCGACAGAGGGGGAGAGGGAGAGAGGGAGAGAGAACCCATGACATCACATCCTGGAGACGGCGAGGAAGGGGAGGAGGTCACCGCTGGTGCTATCGCCAGTGCGCTGCTGCGACCTTAGGCCGCTCTCCCAGGGCGCCCCCGGTCCAGACGGTGCATGCGTCGATGGGGAGGGGGGGGGGGCGGCAGGCAGAGCGAAGCCTGCGTGGAGGGGAGGCAGGCGGCCGAAGCGCTTGAGCTGAAGTGGAGGGGGGGGAGGGAGGCAGGCGAGCGAAGCGGCATGCCCTCGAGGGGGTCCAAAGCGCCGTAGGTGGGCACCGAGAGGGCGGGGGGGGGGGGGGGGGCAGGCCGCTCTCCAGGAGCGCCCCGTCCGAGCGGAGCTTGCGCGGAGGCGGGGGGGTCCTCCTCCTCCTCCTCCTCCTCCCTCCTCTCTCCTCCTCCTCCTCCTCCTCCTTCCTCTTCCTCTCCCTCCCCCTCCTCCCCTCCTCCCTCCCTCCCTCCTCCTTCTCTCTCCTCCCTTCCTCCTCCTCCTCCTCCTCCTCCCCTCCTCCTCCTCTTCCTCTCTCCCCCCCCCCCTCCAGACGCTGAGGTGGGCACTGGGGGCGGGGGGAAGGGGGGGGACACGTAATGTGTGTGTGTGTGTGTGTGTGTGTGTGTGTGTGTGTGTGTGTGTGTGTGTGTGTGTGTGTGTGTGTGTGTGTGTGTGTGTGTGTGTGTGTGTGTGTGTGTGTGTCTTTGTGGCCCGAGCATAGGCCCCAACCTCCCGAGGTGGAGGCAAGGACCCACCTCGAGGACGTCCTTTCGTGAGAGCAGGGCCCAACCCTCCAACGGATGGCCAGCACCTGCGCCCATTCCCCCACCCGCCAATGGGCCCTCCTCCTTCTCCTCCCTTCTTCGGTTGCGTCGTATTCGCTCCTTTCCCTCATGAACAACTCCTCCCTGTCGCACCCCGAGGCCGGTCGGAAGGGCGGGTCGGGCGTTTCGCCCGATGTTTCCTCACCACTCATGATCCTGAAACACTGAATGTGGAACAGTTTCACGGATGGAGGGCGGGTCGTTTTCAGAATGTGGCTCTCGCTTGAGCGCCACACACACATCCGTCTTAAACATTTGATAGAGTTTCACGGCTTGAGGGTGGGTCGTTTTCAAACTGTGGTGTTCGCCTCAGCGGCGCGAACATCCGCTTTAAACATTCGCAAGAGCTTCACGGATTGAGGACAGGTCATTTTCAAGATATGGTTCTCGCTTTAGCGCCGCGCGCATTCGTTTATACAAGTGGAAGAGTTTCACGGATGGAGGGCGGGTCGTTTTCAAAATGTGGTTCTCGCTTTAGCGCCGCGCGCATTCATTTTCAAGAGTCTACAGCAGTTCCCAGGATTCTCATTGCCAATGTCCCTTTGGCACGATGTTGGAGTGTCAGGGCACAACAGTTGATTCGTGGTGATGAAGTCCCAGAAATGGTGTTTTGGCACTACTCAGGATCGTCAAGACACAACAGTAGCGGTGAGTCGCGGCGTTGAAATCCCAGGAATGGTATTTTGGTACAGTTCAGTATTTTCAAACGGTTGTTTTCCAACGGGGTACTCCCGTAAGTGGAAATGAATTCTTGCAGGAGCCTGTACAGAGGACCAACTGCAACATCGTTGATGAGCCTTGGGCTTACACTGGCCCTCCTCTTCCTCCTCCTCCTCCTCCTCCTCCTCCTCCTCCTCCTCCTCCTCCTCCTCCTCCCTCCTCCTCCTCCCTCCTCTCCTCCTCCCAGGCCCTCCCCCTCCTCCTCCTCCTCCCGCCCCCCCTCCCCCTCCCCCTCCCCCTCCTCCCCTTCCCTCGACAGCCCTGGCCGCGGACGGCGGTGGCGGAAGCAGCAGCAGCGTCGGCGGCAGCGACGGGCGACCCGCGGCGGCCGGCGGCAACGCCGGCGGCGGGCGACGGCCGGCCCCGGCGGCTCGGCCCTGGCGAGGGGCCGCGCGGCCCCCGAGGCCTGTACGTCCTCGGGCGCACGCTGCTCGGCGACGGCGCGCGCGCGGCCGCGGGCGAGGCGGCGCTGCGGGACTGCCTGGCGGAGGTGCCGATCGAGGGCGGCGCGGAGGCCGAGGCCTGGCGGGCCACGTCGGCGCCGAGCCCCGAGAGTGGCCTCCGATGCACGGTCGAGACAGCCCGAAGGAGGCGAAGGGAAGGAGAGAGAAAACGGCAGGAGCATGGATTTTCGGAGCTCTGCGCAGATTTTCCTGAGGTCGGCGCTGGGCCCCCTCTGGCGGCGGGGTCCAGTGCGGATCCAAGAAATCCGCGTGGACCTCCGAAAGTTTATGGTCATGCCAGTTTTCCTTGATGACCCCAATTTGCTCCCCAGACGGCACAAGGTACCTCCAAAGTGGCCCCAAGAAGATGGCCCGTACGGCCCCAAGGCGGCCTAAGGCGGCCTCAAGCCGGCCCAGGAGTCCTCCAAGAGGGGGTTTCACGTCGGTTCCTCAGCGGAGGGCGAGTTGAGACACCGGCAGTTGGCCTTCGGGGGGGCTCCTTGTCGCCAGGGTTGAGCGCAGCTCGGAAAATTTGTGCGTTTGGACCCTGGGAGGGCCTGGGACCGATTCTGAGCTGCCGTTGTCTCACCTCGCCCTTCTCCGATCCACGTCGCTTCTCGGCGGATCGCCAGCCTCGGAGTGCGGTCGAGGCCCTCCGTCTCGGAGAGGGGGGACGGGGGGGGGTTAGAGGCAGAGGGGCGCGCTGGCACCCACTTGTCGAGCGCCTGGGCCGACCTCGGTCTGGAGAATGGGGAGAAGGAGGAGGAGGAGGAGGAGTAGGAGGACGAGTAGGAGGAGGAGGAGGAGGGGGAGGGGGGAGGAGGAGGGGGGAGGAGGGGGGCGGAGGGAGGAGGAGGAGGAGGAGGAGAAGGAGGAGGAGGAGCAGGAAGTGGAAGTCTGGCGGGAGTTCTTTGTTGGAAAAACAATCGAGAAGGCAAAATGGCACTTGAGTCAAGCGGTTGCGGCCCACACCTAACATGCACCACTGGAATTCCTAAACCGCGTTGCCCACCCAGTCGCATGGCCATGTTCTAACGTCCCCCTCGGCCAATGTTTGGCCGAATGAGGAGACGGGTGAAGAACTTATATAAAGCGAATTGTAAAAGAGGCCAACTACATTGATAAAAAGCATGTGGAAAAGGTAAGACAGGAGAAGATGGTGACTGTGAACCAGAAGCTAAAAGACGCACTGTGGCGACTTTAAACATGTAAAGTAATGAAAGAGCGTGTTCTACCGCTGCTGCCGGAAAACCGGGGGGGGTCACTACCGGTTCGAACCCCTCCCCCCCCACCCCTCTGGAAAACCGAGGGGGGGTCACTACTGGTTCGAACCCCTCCCCCCCACCCCCCCAGTTCATCATGAAAAGGGTGGGGGGTCACTACCGGTTCGAACCCCCCCCCGCCCCCCCCCTCGAAAACCGGGGGGGGTCACTACCTGTTCGACCCCCCCCCCCCCTCGAAAACCGAGTGGGGGTGCGGACAGTGGTGGGGACGGTGGTGGTGGGGACAGTGGTGAGGGGACAGCGGGACACTGGTTGGGACAGCGGGACAGTGGTGGGGACGGTAGTGGTGGGGACAGTGGTGAGGACAATGGTGGGAACAGTGGGGACAGTGGACAGTGGTGGGGACGGTGGTGGTGGGGACAGTGGTGTGGGGACAGTGGGAATGAGGTGGAAACAGTGGGACAGTGGAGGGTACAGTGGTGGTGGGGACAGTGGTGAAGGCGGTGGCGAGGACGGCGGTGGGACAATGGGACAGAGGTACAGTGGGACAGTGGTGGGGACAGTGGGGACAGTGGTGGGAACAGTGGGACAGCTCAGTGGGACAGCGGAGGAGTCAGTGGGACAGTGGGGACAGTGGGGATAGTCGGGCAGTGGTTGGGGCCGTGGAGAAAGTGGGGAGAGTGGAACCGTGGTGGGAACAGTGGTGGGGACAGTGGGGACAGTGCGACAGTGGTGGTGGTGAGGACAGTGGTGCTGGGAACAACAGTGGGGGATGTGGCGCGGACGGTGGTAGGGACCGGGAGTCGTTTGCTGGCGGTGAGTGGGGGGGTGGGGAGGGGTTCGAACCGGTAGTGACCCCCCCTCCGGTTTTCGAGGGGGGGGGGGTTCGAACCTGTAGTGACCCCCCCGGTTTTCGAGGGGGAGGGGGGGGGGAGGGGTTAGGGGAGGGGGGGGTTTGCCGGGGGGAGGGGAGAGTGGGGGGGGCGGGGGGTTCCAAGGGGGGTGATTTTCGGAGGGGGGGGGGAATCCCGGGTTCCGGAGGAAGAGGGGGGCAATTTTCCACGGTAAAGCGGCGGTGGATCACGCTCTCTCAAAGTAATTGAAGGCATCACTGGCGTAGGCACAGAGCGAGTATACTATGGGCGTAAACGTGCAGGGGCCTCCTGGCACGCGATACACTATTTGTGAGTGTCGCAATGCACCAGGTTATGCAGAATGATTAAACCGTGCTGTGGTGAGTGTAGACGAGCACTTGGAACTGATCGTGAGCTCAAGTGTACCGGCCAAGTTACATGTAACAGTAACCGTAACAATTGTTCAGCTAACACGCTGTAGCGGGCGCCAACCCGTGTCGTCCACTTTCAATGTGTTGATTGTTGACTCGCATGTTCATGGAAGTCTAGTCACTGCTAACATATTTTGGTGAAGCGTCTGCAAGTTTTCCACGTGCTCCTACTGTGATCACTCTGATGTATCCTCGTTGTACCTTCTCTTGTAACCAAAGGTGGCAAACCTCCATATGTCTGAATTGTCCTAGTTCCCAGTCTTCGCCAGCTCGCAATAGCAATGACCGCACTAGCATCGTTCTCGAACACGATACTGCAATCAACATCGAAATCTTTGAGAACTGCTTGTAGTCTTGACGCTGCTGGTTTGGCCTTCTCCAGATGATAACGCCGCTACATTCTGAGTCAAGGTCCAAGACTTTATCACATGCAATCCTCACCTAGCTGTTCCTCCACTTGTTGATTAACGTGTCCTCTTGCTTTCGACACAGTCAGTGTCGACCCACACTGTTAACTCCTGAGGGCGCTCCTGGTACAAGTGCTCATATCCACACCTGTTGTGGTTCTTGCGATACTTGCCCAGCTTCACGAGGCTTTTCCATGCACTTTGGGTCGGGGCTGACATGGAGCGTGCATGCAGTACAAGTTGAGGCTGATGACCGAGATCAGACTGGCGTTCATCGTGTAGTTCATTTGTAGCACTGTCAACGCCTCATCGTCGTCAACCGTCCTAGTGCCCAGTGTGACGCTGAACTTGAAGAATCGTCGCATCCCTTCGTGATCGGCTTCTGCCTGAAATCTCCTGTCTCGTGCCCGGCGTTGCACGGCTCTGCGAACCGGTTCGTGCTCAGGCTGTGCCAGGCCCCTCGGACGTCAGGTGACGTCACACTGTGACCCGGGTCGTGGCTTCGGGGGCCCGCTGGGGTCGCTGCAGCCACCTTTGCTTTAGAACCCACGGGGCGAGCCACGGGCTCCGCTGCCATGAGCATCTGGTGGGAGTTTTGTCTTTGTTATTTCTCAAACTTAGAGGGCAAGATGGCACTGGAGCCAAACGGTTGCGGCCCACAAATAAAATGCACCACCGGAATCCTAAACTGCGTTGCTCACCCAGTCGCATGGCCATTCTCTCACAGGAGGATGGGGAGGCGGAGGAGGAGGATGAGGAGGAGGAGGAGGATGACGGGGGGAGGAGGAGGAGGAGCTCGATCCTGGTCTATTTGATGATTACCTAACAGCTTTTGCTGATAGGTTTCTAGTGGGGTCAAAAGAGAGCATCTGGACTCCACAGGGGGGTCTGGGCGGGTGCCAGGGAGGAGGGCCGGGAACAGAGCCGGGCTCGTTTTAAGCCAACAGTCACACACTTCGTGCTCTTCGACCTCCCAGAACTCCATTCCCGGGCCACATTTTGAATAACCGGAGCCAACTGTAGGCCACTTCGTGCTCTTCGACTTCCCAGAACTCCATTCCCGGGCCACATTTTGGATGCCCGGAGCCAACTGTAGGCCACTTCGTGCTCTTCGACTTCCCAGAACTCCATTCCTGGGCATGATTTTGAATGCCCGGAGCCAACTGTAGGCCACTTCGTGTTCTTCGAGTTCCCAGAACTCCATTCCCGGGCCACATTTTGAATGCTGAGGCAGGCTGAGGCTGAGGCTGAGGGCTGAGGCTGAGGCAGGGCTGAGGCTGAGGCAGGCTGAGGCAGGCTGAGGCCGAGGCTGAAGGCAGACTGAGGCTGAAGCTGAAGCAGGCTGAGGCTGAGGCTGAGGCTGAGGCTGAGGCAGGCAGGCTGAGGCTGAGGCTGAGGCAGGCTGATGCTGAGGCAGGCTGAGGCTGAGGCTGAGGCTGAGGCTGAGGCTGATGCAGGCTGAGGCTGAGGCAGGCTGAGGCGGAGGCCGAGGCTGAAGGCAGGCTGAGGCTGAGGCTGAAGCAGCTGAGGCTGAGGCTGAGGCAGGCTGAGGCTGAGGCTGAGGCAGGCTGATGCTGAGGCAGGCTGAGGCTGAGGCTGAGGCTGATGCAGGCTGAGGCTGCAGGCTGAGGCTGAGGCCGAGGCTGAATGCAGACTGAGGCTGAGGCTGAAGCAGAGAGGCTGAGGCTGAGGCAGGCTGAGGCTGAGGCAGGCTGAGGCTGAGGCTGAGGCAGGCTGAGGCTGAGGCAGGCTGAGGCTGAGGCTGAGGCTGATGCAGGCTGAGGCTGAGGCAGGCTGAGGCCGAGGCTGAAGGCAGACTGACTGAGGCTGAAGCAGGCTGAGGCGAGGCTGAGGCTGAGGCAGGCTGAGGCTGAGGCAGGCTGAGGCTGAGGCTGACTGCGACTGCCGTTGCCACTGCGACTGTCATCGCGAATGCGACTACGACTGCGAGAACAGCAGAATTCTACAACTGGATTATCATCCGAATCTTAAGGGGAATGCTTCCAGATATGCTCCTACACATCGCTGTTAGGTTGCTTTGCGGGGATAATTGTTTTATGTCGCTTCGTATTTCGATTCTACCAGCGTTCGAGCTGCACCGTGACGCGGTGCAGAGGCTGGGTGGACTACTCACCCAGCCGAGATCGAGTTCGTTGGCACCCATGGACCTCGGCCACCGCCTCGCGACCTGCACGGTTGATGCCTTCGAGACGCAGCTCGGAGGCGCACTGGACTGCACCTACTCAGGGTGGAGAGGGGCTCGCACTGCACTGCGACTGTCATTGCGACTTGCGAGAATTCTACAACATCTTCCAGATATGCTCCTACACATCGCTGTTAGGTTGCTTTGCGGGGATAATTGTTTTATGTCGCTTCGTATTTCGATTCTACCAGCGTTCGAGCTGCACCGTGACGCGGTGCAGAGGCTGGGTGGACTACTCACCCAGCCGAGATCGAGTTCGTTGGCACCCATGGACCTCGGCCACCGCCTCGCGACCTGCACGGTTGATGCCTTCGAGACGCAGCTCGGAGGCGCACTGGACTGCACCTACTCAGGGTGGTAGAGGGGCTCGCAGCAGCAGCGGGCCTTCTTCCCATCTTGCATGCTTTGCTTCTGTCTGCCTTTTGATTGGGAGGTTGCTTGATGGGGAGGGTGTGCTGCTTTGTATCGTGGCAGGGCGTGGCGACCACTTTACTGGAAATCCTTCCCCAAAAGCGGTCGCTGCATGTTCGCTTGCTGCTGCTTAGCGCGGGGGCGGATTGAGGGGGGGCCGCCAGGGTGGTGGAAGTGGTTGCCGAGCGCCACCCCGTAGCGGACCCCCTGGCCATAGTCGCCCCCCACCTTCTCCTCTCATCGTGGCCATTGCATCCTCCTTGCCAACTCCCGAAGCTCCTTGTGACGCACGCCGTGCTGTCCTGTCCGTGGGCCCTGGCCCAGCCGCGCGGCCAAGGGGGGGCCCTGAAGCAGCGACCTGGTCCCGCCCGTCTGGTTCCTCCTCGCAAGTCTCTTGGTGAAGGCCTTCGGAGGCTACTCCAGATTTCGTAATAAAAGGGAGGGGGCCTGGACCCTCCAAGACAAGCCATTTCAGACCTCCCCCGTGGGAGAACCCTCCAAAACATCGTCTCCAGACCCCCCCAGGCCCTCCAAGATAGATTGGAAGAGACCCCCCCCCGAAATGAGACCCCCCTCCATTTATTACGAAATCTGGAGTACCTCGGGATCCCCACCTTGGGCCAGGCCGCGGCATTCTTTTTTGTTGGAGTTCTCGGCACATCGTCTCCTCGAACTGCCTCGCGACGTGCCTGGGATTTCGCCAGGGTCGTTTTCCTGATCTTGCATGGCGCGGTCTTGCCGCAGGTCGCGAGCCGCGCTACTGACGCTACGGGCCTGATCGGCCCGACAGCACGTCCAAGAAAGGAGGTGGACGAGGACGAGGAGGAGGAGGAGGAGGAGGAGGAGGAGGAGGAGGAGGAGGAGGAGGAGGGGGAGGAGTGGATGAGGAGGCAGGAGGAGGGGGGGGCCAAGAGGAGGGGGTGCGAGGACGTGCGAGGCCCTTGATCTTCGGACCCTCGCTCGCCATCTCCTCTGGCCCAGCGAGGTGGCGGCCGCGATCGCGGTGCGGCGCTGCCTGGCGCAGATGCCGGAGGCCGCGGCGGACGCCGTCGAGGCGGTCGAGGCGGCGCAGGCGGCGGCGGCGGCGCACGGGCCGCGGACCGACCCGGCGGAGTCGGGCGCCACGGCGGCGCTGGCGGCGAGAGGGCAGCGATGGCGGGGGCGACGACGAGGGCGACGACGAGGGCGACGAAGGTGGCGGCGGTGGCGGCGGCGGCGGCGGCGAGGGCGTTGGGGGGGGGGGCTGTCGGCGACCAGTGCAGCTCGGGGGACGACGGCGTAAGCGACGACGGCGGCGACGGCGACGGCGGTGGCGGCGGCGCTGACGACTACGACGACGACGACAACGACGACGACGACGATGACCGCAACGACGACGACGATGACGACGACGGCGACGGCGACGACGACGACCACGACGGCGACCACATTTTGAAAACCACCCGCCCTCCGTCCGTTGACCGAACAGAGCAGGAGAGCTGTCCACGCCCGAGGGGGCGACCCGAAGACGGGCGACAGGCGTGCTTAGCACGCTGGCCTTTCGAAAATGACCGGCGAAGCTACTGTGAAGGACAACATGTGAGAGGCAAGCGACGAGATCGGCGGCAGTTCATGTTGGCGAGATACAGCCAAACGCTGCTTCGAAGGAGCCAAACGCTCCACCGCAAGGTGATGACGATGGATAGATGATGACGCAGGGTGACGATGCACAGATCAAAGGTGTGAATGTTCTTTTTCCCCGTGCTACCTCCAGCAAGAATCGACATGTTCATCAACTCAGTCTCTCCATGTCGTAGAGTTGCATGCAGCGGTGTTCCAAGAATGCCACCCATTGGATACGGCGAGTCTGCATAAAACATCCTTCCTTTAGCAAAGCGCTCCTGTCTCGACCGATGTAGCCGGTGTCGTGAGGATTTCTTTTGGTTGGTCCACTACTCGTGATCCCTCCACTCGTAGTTTTTTCTGCCCGTCTAGCATTCTCCACGTTTTCCAGCGCGCCTGCCCAGCTTCATTTTGCGGACAGGCTTTCGCCCAGCATAGGACTCTGGCGCTCCGCGCTTGCCTGTCCTCATTGGCTGTCGCAATTATCCAGGAGACGTAGTCATCGTCTGGCCTTCGACGATGACCCATCGTCGCTCGAAGCATCCGCCTCTGCGTGGACCTGAACTTCCTTATCTGCGCTACCGTGAGTTTGCAGGGCTCTGCGCACCATAATGCCACATTCGACATTGTGGAGTCGAGCAGTATCAACCTTTTCCTTTCTGAAGCCGTGCGCCTTTGCAGGAGCGGACGAAGGGAATGGTACTTTGCCCAAGCAGCTCTTAAGCTGTTCGCGAACTCTGCGTGCGTGTACCCATTCATTGTAACAATCGTGCCAAAGACTTCGAAGCTGTCGGAACAGCTTCATTGATGAAACCGGCGATCACCTGATTTCTATGTTTTGCCCACTTGAACGCTCATGCTTGCGCATTGGATGCTGGATTTGCTTTCGTTCATGTGAAGACCCACTCTAACAAGTGCATGCAAGTGCGTCGGTAATGCCAGCTAGCATTTCTTCCCAGCGCCTGTCTGGACTTCGCGGCCGATATTGCGTCATCAGGGATTATAGCGATGGGTCTGTACAGGTTTGCTTCGAACAGTATGAGCAATCTTGACCGTGCCCACGCTGCCAGCATGGAAGTGGAACCATTTATCAAGTCAGAAAACACATGCGCAATAATCTATCATGAAGGTTCCCCGCTTGCTTTGAGCATCTCTGCAACGGCGCCGTCGTCTGAGCAAGTCTTGTTTGGCTTCATTGCTTTGATCGTGTCCAGGACGTCTGCCACCAGCTCCTCTGGTCGCATCTCGCCCAGGTCTGGTTCTGGAGTTTCGCCTGCGCGCGGATCATCGTACAGACTCTCGTAGTAAGCGGCGAACACCTCCGCGATGTCCTTCCAGTTTGTCTTTACAGTTGCTATCTGCGTCTTCTCTCTTTTTTTGTCTCTTCAATTTTGGGGTTGTTTCGACGTGGCTCAAACCTTTTTGCGCTTCCTGTCTCAATTCAACAATCCATTAGTTGATCAGCTTTTTTGCGTCTGTGGTGCCGAGCTCTACGAAACAATTTCAATGACAAATCTCGCCGTTCTTCTTTGGTGGAAGCTTGCTTTCGCACCATCCGGAGGTCTTCCACATCTTGCTGCTCGGTTTTCCGATTGTTTTGCAATGTTTGCAATTCTCCCCAAGTCCGTAGCCACTTGAACGATGGCCTCAGTGAGCGATTCGTGATTTCTCCTGCAACTCCCCGATCGCTTTGCACTGTGCCTCGTGGCATTCATCTTAGCATCCTTTTAGCTTCCAACCCCGGTTGCTTGCTGCAGGCTGCCATTTCCTTCGCTTTCGAACGCCAACCCCAGTGTTCGCCCAAACTGTTCTGTGGTCAGTTTTTGGGAGAAGTCGTCCACGACACGCGACTTCTTCATACCATGATTAAGCTTCATATCCACCAACATGTAATCAATTTGTCTCAGGTTCCCCGAACTCCACATTCGTTGGGTCCACGTATAGTCCGCAGGTTTAAAGAAACATCTATTGACAATTGAGAAGAGATGTTCACGAGACCAATTTACAAAGTCTGTCCACTATCATTCCCAAATCCCGTATCCAAACTTGCCCAGACAGCAGGGGGGAACAATATCAATGTGTGTTTCCAATTTGTGCATTTGTATCTGTTCAAATCAGCGTAAACCTTGTCCCTCTATCTGCTGATATTGTGTCGGCCAAAGCCGCCAACACCCCGTCATATCCACTGTCGGGAGTCCCCCCTTGCGTCATGTGCGCAGTGACGATTCTCCAAGATCCCGCCTCGGAGGACAAATTCGAATGTGCGATTCTGCCGCCCGCTGCGCCCGAAAAAATTGAGTCGCCGTCCGCAGATGCATCTGATCCTATTCTTCCTCCCGCTGGACGGCGCATATATGCTGGAAGACCGCCGTCACAGTTTGATGTACGCCCTCCATCCGAGAACCTCTTGCAAACTTTAGAGACGAAGGTGCGCGGCGCTAAGACCATTTTGAGAACGAGCCCCCCTTCATCTGATAACCTCTTGCACGCTTTTCGGACACATGTGTGCGGCGCTAAGGCGAGAACCACATTTTGAAACCACCCGCCCTCCATCCGTGAAACCGTTTCAAGTTCTAAGCTTCAGGATCGTGAGTGGTGAGGAAGTCTCAGGCGAACCGCACGGCCCGCCCTACCGACCCGTCTCTGGGCGCGACAGGGAGGAGTTATTCATATCTTTAAGCAAGAGGGGTGGAGGAGGATGTGGAGGAGGCGGAGTAGGTGGGAGGAGGAGGGGGAGGAGGAGGAGGAGGAGAGGAGGAGGAGGAGGAGGAAGAGGAGGAGGAGGAGGAGGAGGAGGATAATGAGGAGGAGGAGGAGGAGGAGGAGGAGGAGGAGGAGGAGGGGGAGGAGGAGCAGGAGGAGCAGGAGCCGCCAAGCAGGGGGAGGTGGGGGGGGCGGGGAAGCCCTATCGCCCCCCCGAGGACGCCGCGGACCGTGCCAGGGCCCGGTGGCGCGGTGGCGCCCGGCGACGGGGAGCCGTGGGACGCGAGCGTGGTGTCGGTGAAGCTCGCTGCCGCTGGGGTTGCCGCCGACGTCGCTGCCGCCGCCGCCGTCACGGCGGGGCCGTCGCCCGTCGCCGTCGGCGCCGACATGACCCGTCGTCGTCGTCGTCGTCGTCGTCGTCGTCGTCGTCGTCGTCGTAGTCGTCGTCGTCGTGGTCGTCGTCGTCGTGGTCGTCGTCGTTGTCGTCGTGAGTCGTCGTCGTCGTCGTCGTCGTCGTCGTCGTCGTCGTCGTCATCGTCGTCAGCGTTGTCGTCGTCGTCATCGTTCGTCGTCCATCGTCCGTCGTCCGTCGTCCGTCGTCCGTCGTCCGTTGTCCGTCCGTCGTCCGTCGTCCGCCGTCCGTCGTCCGTCGTCGTCGTCCGTGTCGTCGTCTTCGTCGTGACCGCCTCCGCCACCGTCGCCGCCGCCGCTGCCGCCGCCGCCGCCGCTGCAGCCGTCGTCGTCGTCGTCGTCGTCGTCGTCGTCGTCGTCGTCGTCGTCGTCGTCGTCGTCGTCGTCGTCGTCGTCGTCGTCAGCGTTGTCGTCGTCGTCGTCGTCGTCGTCGTCGTCGTCGGTCGTCGTCCATCGTCCGTCGTCCGTCGTCCGTCGTCCGTTGTCCGCCCGCCGTCCGTCGTCCGTCGTCCGTCGTCCGTGTCGTCGTCTTCGTCGTGACCGCCTCCGCCACCGTCGCCGCCGCCGCTGCCGCTGCCGCCGCTGCAGCCGTCGTCGTCGTCGTCGTCGCCGCCGTCGTCGTCGTCGTCGTTGTCGTCGTCGTCGTCGTCGTCGTCGTCGTCGTCGATGTCGTCGTCGTGGTCGTCGTGGTCGTCATCTTCGTCTTCTTCGTCGTCGTCGTCGTCGTCGTCGTCGTCCGAGTCGTCGTCGTCCGAGTCGGCGTCGGCGTCGTCGTCGTCGTCGTCGTCGTGCCGTCGTCGTCGGGGGCCTGGACGCAACCATCCCCGCTGTCCGCGGGGGTTTAAAGAGTAGGGCGGGGAGGAGGAGGAGGAGGAGGAGGAGGAGGAGGAGGAGGAGGAGGAGGAGGAGGAGGAGGAGGAGCAGGAGCAGGAGCAGGAGCAGGAGCAGGAGCAGGAGCAGGAGCAGGAGCAGGAGCAGGATAATGAGGAGCGAGCACATGAGGCGATGCGGCGAGGCGACGCGGCGAGGCGACGCGGCGAGAAACAGGAACATCGAGAGCATGCTCGACTCAAGCCCAGCAAGGCATCACGGCTGTGGGCACACTCTCCACCCTGGTCAGACGTGACCAGGGAGACAGACAAGCCAGGGCCTGGGTCGCAGCCCCACGCACGCTAGAGGCCGGTGGGTCCGATCACATATACGAGCGCACACAGTTTACAAGAAGCGCGAACCAGTTCCCAGAAACTTGTATGTATAAACGCAACCACTGCGCCGCGGGGTCCAAAGACCAAAAGACGGCAGGGCAGGGGTATGGGGTGTTTTCGGGCTTCCTTAGGATGGCGGCCAAAGGCGAAGTTATCTCGGCGCCACTTGCGCTGAGGGTTGTCCTTCAAGCACGAGGGATTACGCTGCGAGAAAAGTCGAGACCTGGCCGCTCTCTTAGAGAGCGCGCCAACCCCACCAGCTCCATACAGAATGCGACCCCTGGTGGCCTCGGGGCGGCACGGCGCCCTCGGACGGGAGCACCGTGCTGGGGACGGCGGTGGCCCTGCTCGCTGGCCGCCAGTCTGGGGCGCTTCTCCGAGCCAATCGCCGCGGTCCCCACCGCCCTGGCAGTGTCGCGGACGACCCCTTGAGGTCGGGACTCGAACCTGACCCGAGGTTGCACCCGCCTGACGGAAGGCTCCGCCAACTCCTCCAGGGGCCTGGCCAGGTTCTTGGTCTGAGGGGGAGGCAGAGGCGGAGGCGGCGCGTCAGCAGAGGCAGGGAGGTCCAAGGGGGAGGGGGCGGGAGAGGGCTCCATCCTGGGTCGGACCGAGCTGGCCTGGTCCGCGTGAGCTCCAGCGGCCTCTTGGCCCCTTGGACGCTCGGGTCCGTGAGTGGCTCCTGGGGCTCGTTGGCTGGCGGAGCCTGAGGGGTCACACCGGTACGATTCACCGCGCAGGCTTGCCTACTCATGCCATCACGGCCTTTGGCGGTTCTCGCAAAGCGAGGGCAGCACATGTCGCCTCGCCGTGTGTTCCAGCGCGCGGCCTCACGTCTTGGGGAGGGCGCCTCGGGCGCCAGGGCAAACGCCGCCTCGGGCGCGGTGGGCTCGCCGTGGGCTTTGCCGCGGCGCCGGCCTCGTCCACCTGGGGCGCGGGACGAGGAGGAGGGGGAGGAGGAGGAGGAGGAGGAGGAGGAGGAGGAGGAGGAGGAGAGGGAGGAGGAGAGGAGGAGGAGAGGAGGAGGAGGAGGAGGAGGAGGAGGAGGAGGAGAGGAGGACGAGGAGGAGCAGGAGCAGGGTTTGCCGTCGATCTGCCGCGGTGTCGGCGTCGTCCGCTGGGGCGCGCGTCGAGCACGAACGGCGCGGCGGCGTCCGCACTTCCGCCCGCTCTCCGTGCGCTCCCGCCCAGCCGAAGCCGCTCTCGCCCATCTCGAAGTGCCTCGGCGGCGGCTCACCTCCTCCTCCTCCTCCTCCTCCTCCTCCTCCTCCTCCTCCTCCCCTCCTCCCCCCTCCCCCTCCTCCTCCTCCTCCTCCTCCTCCTCCTCCTCCTCCTCCTCCTCCTCCTCCCCCTCCTCCTCCTCCTCCTGGGCACAGCCTGAGGCGCCACAGAGTCTATGGCACTTCAGCAGGACCAACAGTGTGGCTAGGGGCGCACCTTGCAACCGCCATTAGCCACACCCATCGGACATCAGGCTAAGGATTAGGGCTCTGGGAGCAGGCGATAGCCTGCGTACCTCTGAACCCTCTTGGCCAAACAGTACTCTCCCCGTCTCAATCGATCGAGGATAAGGCGACGATCCTTCGAGAGATGACGGGGCAGGCACTCACTCGCAAGAGACACCACGCGCTGGGTGGTGCATGCAGCGCAGTGAGTGCAACAGAAAATCTGGGTTTCACCCACAAAGAAAGACGCCACCCGATGATGCTTGGACCCAGCGGCCTTCAGAGACGCCTGAGACTGCTGGATCCTTTGCTCTAGGGTGGGGGGCTCTGGCTTGACAATGATTAGGGAGGGGGCTGAACGCGCAGAACGCTGACGGTGCAGACAGTCAACAGAAGCAATGGCCTCACCCGCCCTGGCGGCCCATTTCCCCGTAAGACTGACCATCTTCCACTGCATCATAGTAAGCTTCAGAAACTGGGGATAGGGCCGCAGGTCACGAGCACGACTTCTCGCAGCACCGTCAGCGGCATCATTTCCAAGTTTATCCCGAAGCTTATACCTCCCCTCCGCTATCATGGTGTCGGTCACGTGGGCTTTCACTTTTTTGACCTCAGGGGGGGTTCCCCCCCAATCGTCGATTTTGTGCCAAACAAGCTTCCAAAGACACGCCCAGGCCGCCGACGACGACGTGGTGTCGGCAGGTCCGCGGAAATTGTAGCCTTTCCAAACAAAATCAGAATCCGTGTGCAAGACAACTGGTGGCACAGCAAACCTGAGCACTGCAAGCAGGGCGTAAAGTTCAGCACCGTCTATGTCCTGCAGCGGGTAGGGCAGGAGACCAGTGATGGTGCAGACGGCAATGTCACTGTCGGCTGCCAGCGCGACTACTGCCCAGGCAGCAATCCCGCGATGTGGATAATCAATGAACAAGGAACCATCAAGATACAGATCCCCTGTGAGCTGATGCGCATCCCCGTGCCATTCCACACAAGGCTCCAACGGCATCTGCGACACTGCCTGAGGGGCCTTGGGGAGCGGGACAAGCACACGCTCCAGCATCAGGCGCACCAGGTCATTCTGGTCCGCATGCGGGAGCATGAGTCTGATTGCATCGGGGAGTGGCTCTCCTATTGCCTCGAGCATGCTCTTACACACAGCGTGCCGGTGCACGAGGGTACCAGGGGCCTCATGGCATGCAAGGCAACTCGGGGAGTCAATCCAACCTTGTTGAAATTGCCGATCTTGGGGCCACTGAGCTCCAATGATAGCACTCCTGAGGTAACCACGCTGCTGCCAAGTGAGGTTCCCCTTGGCGCTCAGGAGGTACTTCAGAGGCCCATCCCAAAAACCAGTACGGAACTCAGGCATCTGAAGGTGCTCCGAAATCTGCAGGTTGACCCAGTGGCGCACCGCATGCGCACAACAGTGAAGGAGGACCCTGGGGCAGATGTCGGTGAGTTTCAGCTCCAGACCATCAGGCAGCTTCCAAACCAGGGGCTCGACGACGACGATCCCGACTCTGGTGAGCGTAGCATAAAGGGCTCCCAAGGGACCCCGAACCTGCGGCCACATTTGGTCCTTCCCAGACAGCGCCAATCTAGCAGCCTCAAGGCCATGCTCTAAGACATGACATGGCACCCGCGACGCCCAAAGAACGGAGCTGAATGCTTTGATAGGCTCCAGCGTAGCCCTCCAGATCGGGTCGTAGTTGGCCTGCGGCGCGAGCGCGAGAGCGAGAGTGCGGCTCTTGCCGCTGGTCTTGGCGTCGAGCGCCGCAGCGGCCTGGGAACGTAACACGTCCAGCTCCTTAGAGGCAGTACCCTGAACAGAGGTCCCAAAAGCAACCGAAGTCTCCAACGCCGCCCTAGCCATGATGGCCATGGTTTTTCGCCTGGCCGTACCACCCTGGAGATGTTTCATTCTCTTGAGCTTGGGTTTGGCGACTTTAATTCTGCCCGTCCTGGTGGTCCTCCTGAGAAACCGTCCTGAACTGTAGTCAACCCCCAAGTTGCGCTCGTGGTTCACGCCTTGGGCCCTAAGCGATACTAGCCTCCTGGACAGCTGGTCACGTAAGTCAGAGTCACTAGCAAGAACACGCGTCTTGTCAAGAGCGAGTCGTAGATCCACTCGCTGAAGCTCGCGCTGAAGCTTCACTCCAGCGCCAGCTACATCAGCAACGACACGGCCGTGTTCCCCCGATCTCTGCAAAGCAAAATCGTCGACGACCACGGATAAACAGA